TACTTTTTTCCTCCCCAAACTGCATATAAACAATGAAAAAAGGAGAATTTCCTGAGTAGCACAGAGTGTGTGACATTGGAAATACGCCTTTTTCCCCTGCAGGAGCATAGTAAAGCTGCAGTACAAATTTAAAGAGAAGCAGTTCAGTAACAGCTTTTCACATTTCTCAGAGTAAATAAAATTATTAAATGAGAAGTTATATTAATATTTACTCTGAGGCAGAGCTAATCTTTGAAGTTAACAGTTTTCTGACTCAAGTGGTGTTAATAATCAGATCCCAAATAGGATTAGGAGGTAGAAGTGAGTACCTTTATTTGTCTCCAGGCCATTGGTACATAATGTAGATTACACAGATATAAACATAAAGGTTGGCAGTCATTAAAGCTGAATTTCAGATGTTGCATTTGCTTTAAAATCTTCCTGCTCATTTCTCTGTTGCTACACTCACAATTTTCCATATTGTGAAATGGTTTTCTTCCTGTTTTTCAGCCTCCCTTTTGCATAACATCTGAGGCTCTCCTCTGGACTGTATGTTTGTAATATTTGATTTCTAATAGTCTTAGGCAATGGTTTGTTGTGGTGATGAAGTAACACATTTCAGTGTTTATGTGGTTGAAATGTTTTCTGGAAGGAATGGGAAGAGAAACTGTAAATTTTAAACAAAGCTGTAATTAGCACAGTGGCAAAGTCCAAAGGGTTGCATGATTAGAGTGAACCAAAGCTGAGATCCAGCTGTTTATGTAATTTACCCAATTCAAGACATTTTCTGTCTGTCTGGGCCTTTAGGTTGCTCCACTAGAGAAACAACTGCTATCTCTTGGAAAATTTTAATCCTGAGGGAGACCCATTTCTTGGCTTTTTGTTTAGAGCATAATGGCTGGATATAAGTTCAAATTACTTCTGTGCTTTTAAGAAAACTAGGCTGTCTATCCTCATTTCCAAAAGAGCCAACACCTTTAGAGGTTCTCCATGTATTTTGAAGTCTCTTCCTATCTTGTGTGTTGATTTTTCCCTTGAATATTTGCTATTTTTATTTGGGTAGTTCTCTAGACCACAGCTCTGCCCTGGTCCCAGTTTCTCTTTGCAAGGCTGGGAAAGCACTTAGGGAAGAACTGGATGAGATTTGTTCCTTCCCTTCAGTTACCTGTGATGAGAACTCAGCTGAATTTGATGTCATGCATAATGTGCTTTGTGCTGGTTGTTTCTTCTCATGGGTTCTGCTCTGCTGTGTGTACTTGGATTTAGTCTTGCAAATATTTTTCTGAAATGTGTCACTCAGATCTGCCAGCCAAACCTTCCAAGCACAGAACTCCTCCAGTTTTAATGTTTTGTGATTTAATTTTAGAAGTATAACAGTTCTGCCTCTTTTATTTGAAGATACTTGAAAAATACATTGAATTTGCCCATTTTCCTTTAAGATTTCAATTGCAAATATCACTGTGTGATGTGATCCAGGCAAGTATGGTTTGGGTCTTAAGAAGAACAACATTTGACACATGCTTAAACTGCTGGCTGAGAGATTTAGGATGGACTCATCCATCTTTTTCCTTGGAAAAACACTTATCATCCTTACCCACACACTGGGTTTGGATTTGCCCAAGGTTTCCTGTTCTGTGAACAATTGATACTTACACAGGGTGACAGCAGAGTGTGGAAATTTGGAATTGTTCTCTCCTGGAGAGCTCTGGGAGAGCAGATCATGCAGGTCAGGGGATGTGTGTGATCAAACAGGACTTGTTCTGCCACAGGCAAACTCCGAGTGGGGTGAGTCCTTCCGTTTATTTACACAGAGGCACAAGGAACACATGTGTGTGTACACAAGCAAGAAATTTTATATATTGAGTTTAGTTCTGTTTTGAATTTTTACTTTCTGGTGGTTATCTGAAGAAAAGGTTGCTTCTTACTGGTTTATTACAGTATGAAAATTATCATATCCTACTAAATACATATTTTCAGGTCATAGTTGCTACTTCTGTGTGCAAATATGATAGATTGACTCTTTTTTTAGTATGATTTGTCTCATTCAATTCATTTGCTCTGATCTCAGTTTTCAAGGTCTGTACATACAAAAATAATGTATTTCTAATTAGTTAACTTCCACTTAATATTTATTTAACCTCTGGTTTAAGCAGAAATTTTTAATTAATTAAAAAACCTGTCAAAACCAGTGCTTTTAGTTTGGTTTGCACAAGGAATTAAAAGTGTGAGTATGTATTAAAAAGGATTAACAAGATATTTTTGGAACAAAATTCCCTTTGTAAGCAAGGAAAGTGTTCATCATTCAGAGCATCAGAAACTGTCTCTGATGTCCTTCAGGTGTGAAGGATGACAGTCACTAACACTGGTTTTTAATTATTCGTTGGAAACAACAAATAAAAGAAATTAAATAACAATTAAAAGGGAGAAAACAGCATTTCTTTATCCACTAGAAACTATCAAGTTGTTAAAATGAATTATGCAAACCAAAATAAAGGCACAGTTTTTTTCTCTAGTCCTAGAAGAGGTGATTGCTGTGAAAAGCTGCTTTTATCACCTCAGTCCTGTTTTCAGGTTATCTTCTCGTGACTAAATTCTATGGGACATTTAAATGCAGTTTGCCTTGAAAACAAACACAACTTAACGTGGCTTCAGCATTCTTTTTGACTATTCTACTACTAATGCTAGGCCTAGGCCTTAGCAAGCACCTTTATAAAAGGAAATGCTTTGGAGTAACTGTGAGTTATTTTAAGAGTTGAATCGGGATTCAGAATTAGGTGTGTTAGATTTCAGTCATACATGTTTATTAAAAACAAAACTTTGGAGGAAACTGGAAACTGTGACAGAGTAGATTAATACCAGTAAGTAACTTTTATTGAGACCTTGAAAGGTTTTTTTTAGCCTCTTTTGGACTGATGAGAAAAGCGAGGATATCAAGGTCCCTTGCAGAACTTGAGCTGTCTGTGGCTTTTCATCCGCTCTCCAAAGCATTTTATTTAATGTTTTACCAAGTGTACAGCCAAGCTAACCTGACACCTATCTCCAAGAGACGTGGCCTCCTTGTACTTTTCCATCTTTTGGTTGAAGTAGATTAGCTGGCCAAAACAAACCAAAAATCCCTAATCCTGTGGAAAACCTGGCTGGGAAATCAGATGATAACTGGTGCTGGGGAGGACACAAAAGAAGGACTGCTCATTTTGGTGGCCATCATCCGGGACATCTGAGTGTTGTAGAACTGCCCTGCCTGCAGCAGCTGTGCCTGCTCTCCTTCCCTAAAGCACTGAGTGAAATCCTGATTAGTCAGTAAATCACTGTAAGAGTGTTCTGTAGTCTTAGGGTTTAAGTAGCTGGAGAGATGTGATCTGAATACTGCAGAGAAAATTAATTCACAGTTATTGCCAAGATACTTTAGGAAGTAACAACTTAGGTCTGTTCATTACAGGGAGGGGAGTTGATTATGGGATGATAATCTGGTTAGAGGCCATGTTTCCTTTTATTTGTTTGAAGAGCATGTCCAGACATCAAGGTTAAGGTCATAACAGTGTTGTCAGTTCCCAGCTGTTCAGTTCCTGGGGCTTTAAAATAAAATCCACCAAGGTGAAACAAGAACCTGTGGGGAGCATAGATGCTGAGCTTAATTTGAACCTGGTTATGTTGAGGTAATCCACCATTCTGTGTACCACTAATCCAAAATTTCTTTGCTTTCTGGTGAAAAAGGAACAGAAACCTTTATTAACTATTGAAATAAGAGATTTATTCTAAGAAGACCTGTGTGGATGTGAGCTGTGAGACAGCAGAGGAGTAGAAATGAACAACATGTCACAGCACGTAGCTTCACCTTGTAGCCAGGTATTGGAATGAAGGTTTATCCCAGGGAAGGTACAGGCACAGAGGAAGCCTGATGTCTGGCACCAGGCACCCAAAAGGGTTTTAATCTGTGAGGAGTTGCCTTCACGACAGAAAAGGGAGAGGAGTGAGCCTGCCTAGAAAACGTGACTGGAAAAGCTTTGTTTGCTCACTCCCCCCTCGCAGCAAATTGCCTGAAAGAGGATCATGCACAGTGGTGCATCATTGCTGTTATCTCCAGTGTGACTCACTGAGCCATACATAGCAGCACTTCTTTTGAGGAGATTTCTTACTCAGAGCAAGCTGGATGAGGAAACAAAGACTCGGCTGTCAGACTGTTAATGTCACTTTTGCATTAGAATTCCTTGCGTGACACATGAAAATGTCTAAAAATGGCTTGACTAGCAGTGCCTGTCTGTATTAAACAGGTATTGTCAGGTTAAAAAATCCTCATTAGTTTTCTACTGATTGGATGCTCTTATTTTCATATTATTTATATATTTTTGGGCCACAAGAATATTTGTTGATTGCACTAGGAAATTATTGGGTATTTCAGTATTTGGATTGCTGGTAATGCAATGTAGCAGGTGGCTTTCAGAGCATGCTGTAGGCTTTTTTTATTCTGTGTTTGTTTCTCCCTTGTATTGCCTAATCATACCACAAATTAATTCTCTGTGACTTCTTTCTATTCTCTTTTAGCTTTAAAGGAACTGGTTGTGACATCCTAGTATGGCTTGTAGTATTGATCCCTTTTAAGATCCCTCTGTCCTCCTTTTAGAAAAATTGGTTTTCTGGAATGCCAACAGCATCATGCCTCCATATTGTGCATTAATTTAGTACCTTGTACTTCTTTTCTTGCCAAGAAATGCCAGCCAAGGCTTTCTTCAAGGTTTCAGTGCTTGCTGCTGGAGGAGCCTCTCTGGCCTTATCCCCAGATGAACTCCAGCCTGAGCATCCTGAGCTATGATTTTCTGGTGCTGTTGCCAGTGGCATTTTTGATCCCTGTTTGTTGCTGTAGTACAGCACTGTGCTCTTTGTTTATGTTGCATGTTTGTTGACTCAGCTCCCAAGATTTTTAAGTATGCATGGGACAGCAAGGAGTTCTCTTTTTTTGTGATGTGGGCAATGTATTAACAAAGTTGTGTTAGTAAAAGAAATATTCCTGTGTTCTGTTACAGGTTTTGGGATTTGAAGTTGACACGGTGAACTCTGTCCAGTTTTCAAACCACACAGGTAAAATTTTACAGATGTACTCCAGTGTCCCTGAACTCACTCAGCATGGGGCTCACCTCATCCCATGGCAGTGGAAGGACATTGGCCTTATGTAAAGATATAAAACTCTTTTGGAGTCACAAACCAGTTAAAGAGGATATTGGTTTTGTGTTTTCACTCACATTTTCATGATAGAGGATGGAAATGTAATTTTGATGTTTTCATTCAAATCTCTCAGAAGCCTGAAGATGGGAGTAGGATGGATGTGGTAATGTCCATTTCTGCCCTTCAGAGGGTGAGTTTCTTTTGTTAGGCAGTGATCTAATTAAGTCAGATAGTGAAATAACACAAATACATTTACACAGCAGGCATGTGAACAAAGGAGTCTTCAAAATGGTTTTCTCTGAATTATGGCTCTACGAAAGTCACAGTCACATTATCAAATCAAACATCAGAAAAATACAGAGGTAGATGCAATGTTTCCTCACTATGTGCCCATTCAGGTACTACCAAGTATCCCAAAAATCTCATTTTGGTGAGAAGAAAGGCCTTAATACCTTTGGGTGTATTTTTATTTAAGCTCTAAGCCTGAATGCAATGCACTCACCTAATATATTCAGACTTCCTAATACTGACAGTGCTAGAGGACTTGATTTTTTAAAAGAAAGCTGAAGTTTATGTTTATTTTAGCAAAACCTTTCACCCATAAAGGAGCTCCAAGTGATTTGCTATTTTTGGATCACTGGAGACTCATGTGCTCTCTTGGTGGTGGCAAGTTTGAGAGGAGAGCTACTCTAGATAGAGAAAATCTATAGGTGTCTTCAGAAAATAATCTGGGAGCAAATTCTGGCTTTAACATCTTGGAAAAGGGCAAAAGTTGTTTCTGGCAAATTAAAAAGAAGGCAAAAGTTGAGGTACTTTTTTAGTATCTCTACAGGTGCAGCTCTATTAATAAAGTACTAATTTTGAGACAGAGATCAGACTGTTCATGCAGCTTTCAGAAGGTTCTAAGATGACTATCATGCAGGGAATTTAGTGTCACCTTGGGTAGAAAAAATTAATGTTTCAAAGCTGGCTTTAAAGCTATCTCTGCTTGTTGAGGAAGAGTAATAACAAAAAACCAAAAAAGGTAATAATTAAACAAGGGAATGAGGCCTTTCCTGGCTTAGGTAAAAATCTGCTTATTTTGCTTGTACCCTTTGGCACAGTACAAAGGTTATCTTGTGTTTTTCAAAGATACTTAGGTTTGACTTCTGTTTATTTAAAGAATTTATTTAGTTTTGGAGTTTGGGGTTTTCTGTTGTTTAATTTCAATAGCTGGGTGAAACTGTTGTAATCTTCCAGAAATTAAGCAATTTTTTCATGTCAAATTATTCAGTGCTTGAAATGCATGAGCACGTGTTGTTTGTTGGCTTTCTGTTTCAAGATTAAATCAGCTTTATAGGGCACTGCAAGAGCTTAATAGAAGTTTTATAGACCATAAAGTGAATGTGTCTCAAGATGGGAAAATTACATTATCAGTAGGGTGACCAGGTTCTTAAAACAAAAAAGAAGATTTTAAATTTGTTTTTAATGATATCACAACCAAGGAGAGGTTTCCAGTGTTACATTCAAGGTTTGGCAGACAGTGGAAGGAACATTAAATTTGTGGTTCCTCCTCCCACATGAAGACCCTAATGAGCATCCCAAACCCAAAACCCCAAAAATATCTCAAATATCACAAGTCTTTAAAATACTGGAACGACTCCTGGTGTTTAGGACTCAGGTTTGGTTTTGTTTTGTGTGGGGTTTTTTTGTTTAGTTGGTTGTTTTTTTGTGGTTTTGGGGGGGAGGGGTTTTTTTGGGGGTGGGGATTTTTTTGGTTTTTTGGGGGGGAGGGGTGGGAGGGATTTCTGTATTTTTTTTCTTTGTTTTGTTTACTGAATCTGTTAAAAAAATCCCAAAGTTTGCCACACGACCTCATGATTTTGGGAATTAGAGCTTGTGTCTGGCACTGTCCTGCAATACACAGGAATTGTGTGCAGGGTCAATGGGTGAATTGGTTTTCCTATAAAAACAAAATTTTACAAGAACAATTTCTGTCATCATCATCAAAGGTGGAGGACAAATTCCTCCTTCAAAATCTGGCTGTGAACTTTAGTTTCTGGAAGAATGCCAGAGGAGCACAGGTGGAAGAATGTGTGGGGTTTGGACACGGTATCCTTTCTTTCCTTCTTCCCCTGTTTTTAAATTTGGAATTAGCAGCAAATAAAATGCAGAGAGAATTTATGACTAACAGCCTTTGGTGAATCATTATTGCTCTTTTTTTGCCCTGTCTACAAATTAATAAGATACCACAGGCCTCTTTCTGCTGACTCCTGCTCAGAAATTGCAGCTTTCTTTAGTCTCTGATAATCCTGAAATTTGGAAAATGGGCTTTGAATCAGTGCCCCTGGGAGAAGAGTTTGTCATGTTGCTTCGTGAGGAACTTCAGTGATTAGAGTGACTCACACTTGAGTGGCATCATGCTGCACATACAAATAAAAAAAGCTGTCATGCAGCCTATTAAGATTGTTCTCTTTATGCTATATTAATAAACCCTTTGCAGAAGCATCACCTCATATGATGTGCAAAAATAAAAACCTGGATTTATTTTTAATTGTATAATTGATATTTTTTGGGGTGCCTTTTTAATTCTGCAGTGATTTCCAGTTCTGTTTCTCACTGGTAGGTTAATTTTAAGCAATAATGTGCTTACTCTGCCATCCAAATCCTACCTTTGAAACAGCTCTGGAACAAACAGCCTGGGTTTTTTTTGTTACTTTTCCTTTTATTCTTGAGCACGTTTGACTTCCATTTAGTGGGTGTGCAGTAGGTGGCTGGGTTGGCTGGTGGGTCTAAGACATGAGAAATTACAATTATATCTTGATGTGATTGTGCACAGTCTGCCCACCCAGGTGATTCATTCACCCTTGTGTGTGCAGGGCAGAAAGAAAAGATCTCCACTTGTGCCTGACACTGATAACATTTTACTCCCACCCTGTGACCAGCCATAAAAAATCCACTGGGGAATTTGGTTCTTCATTTCTGCTTTTGTTGGAGGCCTCCTGGTGGCTGCAGATGAGTCAAGTGCTCAGAGCAGGTTGTCTGCTGGAGTGTGCAGTGTGAATTTTGTGACACAGCTGGGCCCAGATTCCCTGTCCATCTTAAACACTACAACTTTCTTCCTTTTTCCCATGTGAAATTCTTTGTTACTGGAGCCACTTGGAATAGTTTTGCAGGGAGCACCACAGGAAGAACTCAAACCTCAGAACAGAATGTTCTGGGTTGGAAAACAAAGGAATCTTACATGCTTTGCTATACTAAAATGGTAGCTTGTTTTTCTCTTGCTGTGTTGGTCAGTTGGGGTTTTTTTTTCCCTTCTGATATGCCTGGTAATTTCATTTTCTTTCTTCCTTCCTTATTTTTGAAAGTAATTAAGAGGATTATAAACACACTCCAAAAGGGAAAAAAAAAAAACCAGAGGAAGGCAAGTATGTAAATTCATCTTGGGGGAAGTTTTAGCTGCCTCTCTTGGTTGTGGTTTTTGCTACTTTATTTATTTTTCACACCAATGTCCAATGAACCAGGACATTTCCTTGGAAACTGATGAATATGTTCATCATTTTAGTGACATGAGGTGTTGTATCTTACTTGTTTGTCATTGCCTTATCTGCTAAAAGCAAATAGATAGGATGTAATTGCAATAAAAAATAATAACCCAGGCAGAAGGGGTGTAAGGTTATTGAGGTGTTTATGTTCATCTGTGTGTTTAAAATTATTACAGACGTGGGAGACGAATGGAGTCTGAGCCAAGTGGGGTTTTGAAGAGTTGTGTCATGATTTGCAGTGTTCTCTCTGCTCTCTCAGACCAGCAATGAGGGGAATTGTTTGGTGGTTTTGTACCCAAAACAATGAAGACTCAGCTTTCTTCCTTTCTGCCTTTCCCCTTTCAAGACAGTCCCTCTTTCTGGGACCCTATCCTCCAGTTCATGAAAACCTTTTTGAACATGAGTAACTGGCTTTTTCTTCAGTCTTTCTGCTTTTTAGTGTTACATTCTGCCAGGAAAGTAGGATAAATGCAGGGTCATGAGATTTGCCCCTTCTGTTTGTCACATTACATGAAATTACCCTGGGGAAAGGACGTAGGGGTGTTCTCATCTTGCTGCCAGTTTTGATTTAGTTTGGTGAACATAATTCAGTTCCTAGTGACATCACAGTTCTCTGCAGCTCCAGTGAAGTCATTCCCTTTTATTTTTAATGTCTCGATAGCTGGGGCTTCCCTGAGAGCTTCCCTAGGGCTTTGTTTTTAACTCTGGCTGTTGTGTAGTTAGACTTCAGGTTGTATTACACATTACCAGATAATTAAAAAGATCCTCAAGTTACCTGTGGAAGTCATTGCTGCAGAGCTCAGACAATGTCCCTGCCCCATGTGGGTGACACCAGCTCCAGAGATGAGCTGGGCTGCTGCCTAAAGTTGAGTTTTTGTATTTATTTCTCTCCCTCAGTGGAGGATCAGTGTAACATGAACCCTGTGCACTGACCATTTAAGACAGCTTGACATGGGAAGCTGAACTTTTGGTTAAGCAGTGAATTAACAGGGTCTTTGTAAGGAAAGCTCCTGAAAGTATCCAGGTTGCCTGGGCCATCTGTCATAGTTATTTTTATGGCCATGTGTAAGATAAATACCAGCATTTTTTGCCTTGATTCTGGGTGAAAAGTGCCCCCAGTTTCCTTGGTGGCCCCAATGGAAGAACTCTGTTGTTGTAAATGTGGGCAACCTGATGAGGGGAGAGAATGATGCATCTGACTCCATGTTCTCAGAAAGCTAATTTATTACTTTATTATACTATATTATATTAATACTATACTATACTAAAGAATACAGAAAAAATACTGAATGCTAGAAAGATAATAACGAAAACTCATGACTCTTTTGAGAGTCCTGACACAGCTTGGCCCCAGTTGGCCAAAGACTGAAAACAACTCACAGCAGAATCCAATGAAACAATCACCTGTGGGTAAACAATCTCCAAACACATTCCACATGAGCACAACACAGGAGAACCAAATGAGATAAGAATTGTTTTCCTTTTTCTGCGAGGCCGATCGCTGCCTTTCAGCTTCCCAGGAGAAAAAACCCTGGGCATGTTCAGAGAATGTGAATGCCCCACTCTGTTGTGTCCCTTTAATGGATTTTCAGTGCTACAGAGGCTGGGGGAGAGGAGAGGACAGATTATTTCTGTGTGATGCTGCAGATGTGACAGAACAAATATCTGAATTTGTGTTAAATAAACCAAACCCTGGATTTGCATGCACTCAGGGGTTCTTCAGAACAGAAATCCCTTACTTTGTCCCTTTCTTCACAGGGACTTTGTGAGCAGCATTTTCCTGGGTGGCTGATGTGAGTCAGGCCCCCAGCCAGCTGGCAGCAAGTTGTGTTTTAGAGGCTTGGCCTTTGTGAGCTGAGGGGAGCAAAATGATCCATCTGCTCACCATACCGTGGGTCTGTTTGCACTCACAAGAAGGAAATCTGAAAAATGTGCTTATCCCAGCCTCTAGACACCTTTTGGCAGTCACTCTAATAAGTCAGTTTAGAGTGATAATCAAAGCCAACAGTTTTCATCACAGAATTTTCTAACTGCAAGAGCAGAAGTTAAACAAAATACTATTGTCTTTACACAGGGGAGGTATGGGAGAGGATATCTCACTTAACCTTTCACTTTTCCTAATTCCAGTTAATAAAAAGGTAAGCCTTTTGACAAAATATGAATTTATGGAGATTGAAAGAGTTAAAATGTGGATGTCTCATCCAATATCCTGTTGGAAGCCCCATTCTTACATACAGAGGAGTGATTGGTGCACGTAGATGGGCAGGCTTTGCTGACAAGGTGCAAGGTGCATTTACATTTTTCAACAAATGTTTAGATTCTGTAAAGGGAGATATTCTTTATTTTCCTTGGAATTGGCTGCCATGGACCTTGGTCCACTGTTTGCTGGAATCAGTTGAGTTTATCCCAAGTAACTTCCACCTTCCATCTGCTTCTCTCAGCTGAGCATATTTGCTTGCAATTCTTAGAGATCATTCAAGGATATATGGAGTATATGGATATTATTTATCTGTTTGTAGTGCCTTTCTGCTACTCCTTTCCTCCATCTCCAGGATCCTCAGCACTGAATCTGTGCTATTTTTTGAAGAAAGTCTGTCAGGTGGCCCTGTACATTTAAAGACCACCCATGGCAGTGTTCTGCTGTGATCACTCTGTTTGTGACATGCAGGTCCCAGTGGATGCTTTATCTGATGGGTGCAGGCCTCTGTCCAGACAGATCTATAAGCCTATTAAGATTGTCATCTAACTGTCAATATTTCCTTTTTTTTATATATAGTATAAGATAACAAAAATAGGTTATACTGACACCCTCCTCCAGTGAAATCTAAAACATATGTTTTTCCTCCTCCACTCAGAAAAGGGACAACTTGCAAAAGCTCCATGGGAAACCTTGCAGGAGCTTGTGTGTGCTCAGCTTGATTTTCTGTTAAATAGACACTCTCAGACGGCAGTGTAGTCACTCCAGCTCCTTTGGGAGGCAGAGATGCTGAGGAGAAGTTGAGCACACATCCTGTTCTGCTGACAGCAGCTTTCACTCAGCACCAGCATTTCACAGGAGGGGAGGTGAAAATCCTTCCTGTGCTGATACTGGCTGTGTGGTCCCTCCACGTGTATCATCTGTGTGATCTGAAGCAGAAGATCCATCTCTTGAGAGCTGCCCTGGTGTTTTCTTTGCAGGCTATGCCCACTGGAAGGGTCAGGTGCTGAATTCAGATGAGCTGCATGAACTCTACGAAGGGCTGAAGCTGAACAAGGTCAACCGCTACGATTATGTGCTCACAGGTAAGGAGAACTTGTTCCCTGCAGCTCCCAGCAGGTGTAAACAGGGCTGAAGAAATGTAAAACACATATCCCTCCTTGTTGCAAGCCAAGCAATTAAAATTTCAGCTGTATATTATAATCTGAACTGGCTCAGTGCTGTTCACCTGGGAGGTTGTAACTGGGCAGGTAAATTGATCCGCTGGTATCATTTACAGACTTGTACAGGCCAGGCATGTACAGGCTCACTTAATATTTTGGGAGTGCCTCTTTTGGAACAATGCATCAGGAATGTCAGAGTATTATTTTTAAATTTATTAGGAAGACATGAGTTTAACCCTTTCTTCTAAGTCTGCAGTGCTAGCACTCTGTGGTACTGCCGTGTGATTTTATAAACAGTTCTCTTGATTTTTTTTCTATCCTTGATTTTTTTTTTATTTGATCTTTAAGGCTTAGTGCTTTGGACAGTGAGCAAAGTATGAGTAGAATTGGGTCTTTGCTTTGGCTGTCATATATCTTGATTTTTTGCTCTTGTTACTGTGTGACCGTGTTCACAGGGATCTTATGCTGAGGGAAGAGACGAGTATCTGACTCCATGTTTCAGAAGGCTGATTTATTATTTTATGATATATATTATATTAAAACTATACTAAAAGAACAGAAGAAAAGGTTTCATCAGAAGGCTAGCTAAGCTAAGAATAGAATCTAAAAGAATGATAACAAAGGTTTGTGGCTCGGGCCCTGTGTCCAAGCCAGCTGACTGTGATTGGCCACTAATTACAAACAACCACATGAGACCAATCACAGATCCATTTGTTGCATTCCACAGCAGCGGATAATCATTGTTTACATTTTGTTCCTGAGGCCTCTCAACTTCTCAGGTGGAAAAATGCTAAGGAAAGGATTTTTCATGAAAAGATGTCTGTGACAGTTAGTGTGTAGGTCATCTGAGTGACTACAGTTCTACAGTGTTTTCCTGTGCTTACAACTAAGTGTTTATAAATACAGGCAAAGAGAACTTGTTTAGAATACTTCATAGAAAGGACAGATTCCACAAGAAGTTTTTAATAAAAATTTCTTCTCACCCAATTCCTGCTTCTCAAAAGTAGGTTACTGATCAGATTTCACCTCAGTAAGAGCTGTGCATCTGGTTTGGATAGTATTTTCAATTTCTTACAGCAGTGAACAGGGACTTTTTAAAGGTAAGCAGAAATACATAACCAGCTTTGATTGATTTCATGGCTTCCACCTGTAGGAAAGTTCTTTATACACAGGGAAAACTGGAAATTTTAAGTGCATGGGTTATAACTGCAAAGTCATTCTGGGTGAGGCATGTCCAAAGAGTTACTGCCAGGGGTTTTTCAAGGAATATATCCAAAATAAGGGAGACTGAATAGCAAATAGATTGAACTAAGGTTAAGAAATTAATTTTTGCATTAATGGGCTGTTTGCTGTGAGAAATAGATAAACACCCTTTCTTTCCTGGAAGGAACTCACACAGAAAATATTTCCAGGAAAAGCACACTGTATTGTAGGAATTTTCAGGAGATGTGAGTGTGCAAATTTATAAATAATATTTGAGTATTCTTTTAGCAGAAATGTTCCTTTTTTATTTCACTTCCAACTCTTGGAAGAGACCTCTACTCATTTCTTATCACTGGCAAAATGGATTTAAGAGATTAAAAATGGTAGAAGGAAAATAGAAATCTTCAGCAAAAAGGAATTTGGGAGAAAAAGAGATTCTTTATTAATAAAAGTCTTGTAAAATAGGATTTTTTGTGTGTTGTTCAAGTTTGTTTTAAAATCTCTTTTGCTGCAGCCATTTTCAGTATGAACAAAAAGAAGGCATGAGTAGAAAGAGCAGTAATTTCTGAACATCTAATAACACTTCTTGTGTTTTAGTCTTCAGCTGCACTGTGGCTGAAATTAAAACCCATTTTTTTTCCATTCATGACCAAAAGTCAGATTTTTCTCTTCAAACAGACATTCACTATATTGTACAACTACTTTGTATCTCAAACAAGCTGGATATGATTATTTAAACACTGAAATATGATTATTTAAACACTGAAAAGCAATTTATCAGCAGGTGGGGTTTGACTGTTAATTGTCTGATGATTATAGATATCTCAGCTGAGATTAAAGTTATTATCTTTAGGCCAATTATACAAAGTAACACTCCATGGACTTTTTGTGACTGTTAGCTATTTGTAGATCTTCTTGGATTTGTTTCATTTGCAGTAAGACACTCAAGGGAAGCGATAAATTGCAGTTCAGTGTAACTGTTTTCAACACCTCTGTCAGTGATGTACAGTATTGTTTTCAGTATTATTATTTACTCAGTATTATTATTATTCTTCAACTCAGTATTATTTTCCAGCCAGTCTGCCATGACAGGTTATTTTTAAAAAAATCTTTGCTTGACTCTTTTGACTGATTGTCAGCATTTCATGGATAGAATCCAGAATTTTGGCAAAGAATCTTTTCCATTTCTCTGCAGCACCCAAGAATTGATCAATTTTTCAAGTTAAAAAAAAAATCTCCAAAATCTACTTTTTTAATGTAGTTTAAAATATTTTATTAGAATGGACATTTCCAAGGACATTGAAAGATGCTGCCCTGCTAAAAATAATAGTATTAAATCAGAGAATCACAAAATATGCTGAGCTGGAAGGGACCCACAAATATTGAGTCCAGCTTATGGCCCTGGCCAGCCCCATCCCCATCCCCAAGAAATGAACTACAATAAATTAAAATCAAATAGATAACTCATAAATGTTGTTAGTAAAGTTAATACATAAATATATCAATTAAGGAACATCTATAACATTTAAAAACTAGTGATTAAATAAGAATATTTTGGTGCTAGCATTGTGATTGGAGCCTTGAAATACAGTAAAACTTATTTCCAGCTTATTTCACTGCTAAGCCTGAAAAATAGGAACTTTATTGGTGTTTTGGAGATTGCTCTAAAATTATCAAGGTTAAATCTCTATTGCAATAATGTGTTGGACTCAATCAGCAGGAACACTATTAATAATAAAAAATTGCCTCAAGACAGAATTTGAGAAAAGTATATGGAATTTTAAAAAATTTCTGTTTTCTGCATGAAAAAGAATACTGATCAAAATATTGTTTTTATTAAAGGGAATGTTCTTTCCTTCTAGCTTGACCTTTGTTCATATATGTTCAAGCATTGTGAAGTTATATGAGCCTTTCCTATACAACATCCTCAGTAAATGGATTTTTAAGGTTATACTTGTAGTTGTGCAAGCACTGTCTGAATTTGTATTCCAACCTTTTATTCCTGAGTCAACTACTGAAATAAATGCCTTTGTTCTAAAAATGCATTTATCCAAAGAATAGAAGTATGCAGCATTCCTATCCACAACTAAAAACAGCAAAAGTGTTCAAGAAATTGGACTTCAAAGGTGTCTTTTTTTTTTCTTTTTCTAAAAGGGTATACAAGAGACACATCATTTCTGGCAATGGTGGTGGATATTGTCCAGGAGTTGAAGCAACAGAATTCCAACCTCGTGTATGGTAAGGATGTGCATTTTAATCCTTCCTGCTCCCTCATTGAGTATGCTCATCATTTTCACATTTTAGGATGGATGGAAACAGTGTTCTGATGTTACAAAACACTTCTGATCTATCTGGAGCCAGCTGGGCCTCCAGTGATGTTTCATTTCAGCTTTAGGTGGTCAAGGAGTTGGGTTTTATCTCTCTATTTGCTGCCTTTCAGTGTGGTTCTTGCATCATGCATCCAAAGGAGAGTGTGCCTTGAGGACTGGTTGTCTGTATCCAGGAAAAAATAAAATTCCCATCCAGCTGGTGCTGATACAGAGGCTGTTCAGAGTTCAGAAGAGCCACAGTTCAGTACAGAACACAGTTCAGAGGCTGTGTGGGCTGGCAGATGAAGCCTCTCCTTGATTCTCAAGTCAGCCAGAGCAGGACAGGCTCTCCCATGTCACCCTGCCATGGCTCCTTGTCACATCCCAGAAATGTCCTGCTTTCTGTCCTCATAAGTTCCATGATTTACCTTGAACTCCAGGGCTTTTTTAGCTCTGCTGCTTTCTAATATTCCCTAGGATTATCCAGGGAGCAGGAGGCTCCAGCAGCTGTTGTCACTAAAATGTCACATCAGGCTTCAACCTGGGAGAAAAGATTTCTTCTCTTCCCTTCCTTCCTTTCCTGAGTGTTTCAGGAATAACCAGCATAGGCTTGAATTTCAGCTGATAGGGCAAAATCAGTGAGGATTTAGTGGGATAAAAAGCTGGGAATGATGGTTTGAGCTGTCATCTTCAGGCTCTGTAAACAGTATGGCCAGGAATCATCTAGAATGATTGGCAGGGTTTGCAGGGTGTTGTACTGAGCAGTGATAACTGACTTAAAATTAACAAAGCATAGGTCTTAATTAGCAAAATACAGCAGAGAAATCTTGACTGGGTCTTGTTGCTTTTTAGCCTTTATTTACACAATTGGATTGTCAAATTCTTCATAGCCTTGTGTGAAAGCTAAAGAGTCTTTTGGAATATGAACAGAAAGAGACATCTCACTGTGCAGAGCAGGAAGGAAGTGGTCAGGTGGTGAGAGCACAACGAGGCTTCTGAGATCCTGTGTGCTTAATAAATAGATTCTAACAGAAAGAAAATATTTTTAAAATGTAAAACAAATTGCCCTCTTTTTACTCATAGAAGCTTCCTGAAATACTGACATTGATTTGATATCTTTGGATTTGTGCTTCTTTTTGATCTTGCTTAAAGATCTGTTAATACAATGAACAATGTTTCTTTTTGAAGAGCCGTGCTAGGCTGTTTCCATGCTCACTGAGGACTCTTGGAGTGTGTTGTTAGTACTGCTGGTGATCCAGAACCTGTGCCAAACATGTGTTAAATATCATTACACCAAGTACTTTGGCATGAATTGTCTTCTTGTTTCATTATAATAGTTTCTTTATCTAATACACACAGAGCATTTTGGTGTGTACCAAATATATTTTATAAAATATATATAAAATATATTTTGGAATATATTTTTTCACACTGAAGTAAAAATAGGACTCTTTTCAGAGCTGTTAGCTTCTCCCATGTTTCTCCCCTCCATTCCAGACAACTTTTTAAGACACATGACCTACTCTTTCAAAATTGGCAGCCACCAGATACAAATTTCAGTGTGCTGCAAGAGCTGTGAGAGTGTGTAAGCTTTGAGATGCTCAGTGCTCTTCTGTAGCCACCACTGTTACCTCCCAAAATTTCTCCCTCCTCCCAGGATCTTTGTAACTGTACCCTCTTTCTAAACCTACATTTTTTTCCAGTGTGTGATCCAGTGATGGGTGACAAGTGGAATGGAGAAGGCTCTATGGTGAGTATTCTTCTGCTTGGATTTTCTGTGTAGTGAATGTTTGTGATACAAAGATGTATAAAGTTTTAGTATTTTTTAAACAACAACAAAAAAAAGGTGCTTTGGATCCCAGCATCAAGTAAGTTAGTACTTAAATTTCTTGGTTTTGAATGAGATTGGTATCTGGGAAGAATGACAGCTGTCCAGCCCTGGGATTGTTTCTGGCTCTCTCCTGAGACAACAGACCTTGTCCACAGGAAAATATCCTTCTACTCCCCATCCCTGTCTCTCTGGAGTTCTCTCATCACCTCTCCAGAGCTGTGTTCTGGCTGGTAGCCTGGCTGCCATTGTCAGTCATCCTGGGAATGGACACAGCCCTGGAACCTAAATGAAGATTATTTATTTCATGTGGGATCTGACAGCTGTTGGGATCTGAGCTGGGATCAGTGACAGAAAGATCCCGTGTGCCAGTACCAGGCTGCACCCTGACAAAAAAAAATTCATTTTTAATTAAAAAATTTTTGAACAAAACATTTTGGTTTTGGGGATAAGGACATGAGTGAGCTGGGACACTCTATTTCCTCATGCTGCGGAGTCACCTTGGTGAGAGAGAGCTTAAAAGTTCCTCACCCAGACATCATTTCCTTTTAATGCTGCCAGTTTAGGTCCGTCTGCTTAAAAATGGTGCTTCCCATCCCCTCCAGGGAAGAAAGGGCTGATGGTGACAGTGTCCCCAGCTGGAGGATGCTGTGCCACTGCGGTTTCAGAGTTTGGAGCTGTCAGGTCACTCAGTGGCAGCTGGAGTGGTGGTTGAGGGAAGGAGAGCTGCAGTCCCACATCTCAGACACTCTGACAACTTCTGACACTGTTTTTTTCTCCCCAGTATGTGCCCAAGGATCTCCTGCCAGTCTACAGGGACAAAGTTGTACCTGTTGCAGATATAATCACTCCTAACCAGTTTGAAGCTGAGTAAGTGCTTATTTATTTTTCTAGCCAAATAACTTGTGGAAAAAAGCAGGGAACACTGATACCCCTTAATTTTATTTGTCTCAATATAGAGCCTTATGTATGTATGTGTTGGGTTTTGAGTTGAGCTGTTAGCTTTAAGTGGTGTTTTTCAGATGACCTCAATTGCTGAATGTTGACAACAATTAAAAATACAGGAGTTATGAGAAGAAAAGGTTCTCGTTTTCTTCAGTGTCTCATTTTCATGATGAGATTTCTTGTTATCACCAGAGGCCTGTTTCTTGGACAGGTTTAAAAAGTACCTTCCCCATCCTTACCCATTAGTATGAACATTTTAATCGTGCCAGAATAACAGAACTGAAATAGTTTGGTTCAAATTCCCTCCCCCACACAAAAAAAAATATATTCAGAATTACCACCATGGCAGCATCTCAGGGGAGCTAAGAATTTAAATGTCTCCTCGTGTCCTGTCTACACAGCTGTGACTCTTTGGTCAGGAGATAATCTCTGGTGGTGCAGCACAGGCTGTGCCCTAAAGGGGAGGCAGCAGCTACATGGGAGAGGGAGAGAAAACACTTGTGAGGGGATTTTTGTGATGCAGGGACCTCTGGAGGAGGCAGGGTGGGACTGGTGTGAGTGCTCTGTGTGTCTGTGCACGTACAACACTGAGGTCTGCTCCAGCAGACCGTGGAGCTACAGATGGGTTTGGCCTGTTTGGTGCAGTCCCAGCTTTCCTCCTCTGAAAGGACAAACAAAAATTCACTGCCTGAAGAATTCCTGCTGTTTTAACATTTCTGCTTCGTTTTCAGGTTACTCACAGGCAGAAAGATTTACACAGAAAAAGATGCACTGGAGGTGAGTGGGCAAATGATGGGCTGTGTGGCATCTCTCTGCATCCCTGCCTGCAGAGCTGCACTTTGCCTTTAACCTTGGAGTCACTTTGGCCTCTGTCCTTGCCATGTGTTTATCATTAAAGCTTGTACACTTCCGGCACAAAATATTTCCTGTTTCAGTGTCAGAATTCCAAAGAAACTTCCCCAAAAGATCTCCAGATAAAGGGATTACAGTGGTAGTGAGTACATCTCTCTGAACTTGCTTTCTGCAGTGAAGGAGGAGTGGCAGCAGTATACATGGCAAAAAAAAAAAAAAAAAAAAAAAAAAAAAAAAAAAAGATATACAATATCATATAATAATATAATATAAATAATTATATACAAGAATATATAATCTATATTATACTAATATATATTATTATAATAAAGTATATATAATTATATATATAATAATATATTATTATATAAAATATATTATATATAATGATCCACTCTGTTGGTTATGTTATATTATATTATATTATATTATATTATATTGTATTGTATTATATTATATTATATTATATTATATTATATTATATTGTATTGTATTGTATTATATTATATTATATTATATTATATTATATTATATTAATATCCACAGAGTGCATTATTATATATAATAATCCACTCTGTGGATATTATTTGGTTGGAGTGAAAACCTCAGGGGACCCCAGGCATTAGGAACCTGTTTGGAGCTCTGCTGGCCACATTCAGCAATGCTGAGTGTGAGGACAGCTCTTCCTTATTCTCCCAGATAAATCCACAGCATTGACAGCTGCTGTCGTTGCCATACAGAGCTGATAGATGGCCTGCAAATATATTGCATGGAGGTGTAATGATTTGCCCTTTCACACAAAGTGAAGAAAATAAAAACCTGTAGGGCTTGGTGGTGAAGGACAAAATAGAAATCCAGTTTTATTGATGTCTTGAGAAGGACTGAGCTCTTTGTTTTGTTGGCTACTCGAGTGCTTTCATAATGGACTGATGTAATTCTCTCCAGTTTGGTTTTGAACTTCAAAAGAACACAAAATCTTTAAACAAGCAGCAGCTGCAGTTGCACCCTGGAGAGTAGCTGGGGGTCTGTCAGCCCAAATGTTTGTTGTTTTTTTGCTGTAGCAACGTCAAACACCACAGGTTGGTCACCATCCCTTCACAGCAGGAAGCAGCTACAGAGATCTCATCTCTGAATTTCCTCTGCCCCCATTTCTGCATTACCCCACTGTGCTGGGTGAGAATGATGAGCTGTGCTTCATGCCAGTAACAGCAACCTGCAACTCAGTTCTTCTGTTCTCATCTCACCAGTGGAACCAGTCTTGAGAAGAACATAATTAGCTGGGCAGCCAGTAGTTTTAAATTTGCATATTTCAGCTGCAAACCTGAGTTGCTTGTGCTAAACAGTTTTGCCAATTAGTCTTCTGACTGATTAATGCCATAGCTCTGATTTGTGATGGGCTTTAAAAAAGAGATGGAATACTTAGAAATGGCAACATTTTTAAAGAAGTTGTTTGCAGGATATTATACTTTAATCTGTCTGTATTTCCAGCTGCATGTCATATATGGGTCTGAGTAATCATTCGTGCTGGAATTTGTCCCTTTTAAAGGTGGCAGGAATTCTGGCATTGATTTCCATGATTTCATGCTTGCTTTCCTTTCCCCAACAAGGCCTGTGATGGCAGTAGTGTCTAATGACATAAAATTAGGCATGATGTAATATTAATGTAGAGAGGACTAAATCCTACAGCTAGAGACAGTGGAGATTAGGGTCCTAGTGAATTGTGACTGTGAAATGAAATTTAGTTTAATATTCCTGCACAGACTGATTGTGTCAGTGTGTGCTGGTGGATTTACTGCTTCTCCAAAACCCCACTGATGTCTGTGCAAAGAGGTCTGACAGCTGAAGAAACTTGGAGGATTAGACAAGGAAAAAAAGCAATAAAGTATTAAAAAATAGCAGAAATAAATCCTTATCATCCAGCTGCTCATGAGTCATAGCTAGCCTGAGAGGGTTTTTAGTTAAACTCTTCTGGGAGAATTAATATTTTATCCATGTTTTATACTGAACTCATTATTGAAGTCATTCTTTTTTTTTTGAAATCAAAATCACTTCTGTCTGTAACAACCAATTGTGATGTCAGGAGTATTAATGAGTTTAATGAGGAACAGACAGAGTGGAAATACATCTGCAAAGGTATATAATTTACAGCTGTAGTTTTGGGGTTGAAACAGAATGAGAAAAGAAGATTGAGATAGACACACTTCTGCCTCTGATTTAGGTTTTTAAAGTTTTGTCAACTCTAAAAGTAGTAGCTTAATAAGATTTCATGACCTGGAGTTGCTGGCTTTCTAGAAAATGCTTCAAGATGCCAGATGAGGTGCAAGTGTCTGTATATTTATTCTCTTGTTCTTTTGATAGTATGTTCTGAAAACATGATGCAGGCAAAAATTCTGATCACAGCTGAAAGAGAGTATTTTTCCAGAGGAGCATCCAAAGATAACACAAACAGAAATGCTTGTATATTTTGACAAGTGTGTACATTTAAATGTGGATGTTTTGATTCCCCTAGTTCAAAGTAATGCCCCTAATTCAAGTGGATTATTTGAATAGAGACTGGTGTTTTTTCTCTTTACAAACGATGCCAAAATAAGGTGTTTGTTAAAAATCCTCAGTACTGTGAAATCCACACATATTGCAGTCACTGACTGCTGCCTTTTTGCACACTGACAGGTAATGGATATGCTCCATGCCATGGGACCAGAGACTGTGGTGATCACAAGCTCAGATCTACAGGCACCTCTGGGAAATGACTACCTGATTGCTCTGGGAAGCCACCAAAAAAGTAAGTGAAGAGCTCCTTCCTTACCTGTGCTCTCTTCTAACCTGTCTGTGCTTGAAGAAGGAATTCCATCAGGCCCATCTGCGTGGAAGGAGCACAGATTCCTAAGTGAGCCCCTTGTCCTGCAGTAATAAATATCAGGAGTGTGAGACTGGGGCTGCTCCATGAGGGAGGACAGGAGCTGAGTGTGATCATAGCCCTGGCAGGACTCTGTCCCCACCCATGGGACCTGAATGAGGTCAGCAGGACAGGGGGGTGGTGGCACACAGGTCAGAGTCAGGGAGGCAAGGCAGGTCTGAGATGAATCTGGAAAATTCAGTAAGTATCTCAGGGCAGCAGGGCTGTACAAGGAATATCTGCACCAGGCCTGAGCTCCATGCAGCTCCTGGGCAGAAGAGGAGGAGGAGAATGTCCTAGGCAAGGTTTTTTGGGACTCTTACAGCCCCTGGTACTGACCCTGGTAGTAAGGATGTAAAACAGGAACTTGGCATGTTTGAATGCTTTCCTGAAAAGTCACTCTCTCCTTCCTGTTAGCAGATTGTTCCTCCCTTGAAAGGTTATAAAATACCCTCCTGCTTCTTCTCTGTGTCCCCTTTTGTGCTGTCACCAGGATTCAGTGTGTTCACACAATGTTTCCACCCGATGCTTACAGTTATGAAGGATGAAAAATGAAGGTGGTAACTCCCTCCTCCCTCTCAAATAAAGTATATACAGTATAGAAGTTGTAAATGCTGTCCCAAGCTGGCCAAAGTTTGGAAGGCTGTTTCTTTTAAAAGAGCTGGTACAAAGTTTACAATACTCCTTTATGTTCCAAACATTCAAATCTGATGATGATTTTAAAAAAAAATTCTTTTTAAATTCTAGTGATTGCTGTTGTATTAGTGGCTGGGTCTGTCACTTAACTGTGGATCTGTGTTGCAGCTAAAGCAGATGGTACCAGGATAACACAGAGAATTCGAGTGGAGTCTCCCAAAGTGGATGCTGTCTTTGTGGGAACAGGAGACTTGTTTGCTGCTATGCTTCTGGCATGGACACACAAGCACCCAAACAATTTGAAGGTGAGGAAGAAGTTACTCATCTCTCTGCAAGTTTGCACCTTGTTTCTCTTGAGTTTATTAAAAAACTTCTGATCTGTGACATTATTTAAATATTGTTTTCTGTTTTGGCTTTTTTTTCCTCACCTCAGAGAGGAAGCCACAGAATTTCCCTTTTGCCAAAAGGGACATTAAACTGTCATATTTCAGTTAGATTGATTTTGTAATTTTTCCAAATAAAATGTTGTTCTTTTTAGAGAGACAGACTGCATCCATGTTTACAATTACATTTTTTATCCTCACTTCATAATAAACAGTGAAAATAATTTCTCAAATCCATCTTTCTTTCCCTTAAGGACACAGAGTCCTTGATACAAGTATGATTTCTAATACCTGTTTAGGGATAATTAAGTAAGAAAAAAATTATCCCAAACTCTGCATTGCATAGCTGTCATCATGTTTGTTTTGTCAGTCATGTTTTTCTCTTAATAGCAGTGTTTTTGAAATAATATTAATTAATACTAAGTAATATTAAAGTAGGTAGCTGAAGTTTTACTGAACCCTAAATATGTTGTTTCAGGTGGCATGTGAAAAGACTGTGTCAGCCATGCAACACGTTCTGCAAAGGACCATCAAGAGTGCAAAAGGTAAATTAAATTCATCCAGACCTCGTTCCTGTGTTGTCTGGATTGGAATCAGAAGAAATATTCAAGGAGCTTTCTGGGTTTCATGACTAAAAGCATCCCCTCACTGCAGAAGCAGGCAGAGATTTACAGAATGAGAGCTTGGTAGTTTTGTGTGCATGTTCCTGCTGTGTCCTCCAGGGCCATTTTTGACCAGAGCCGACTGCAGATGTCACTGTTTAGCTTGTGCTGGGTGGCAGTCGTGCTGACTGTGCCTGACTCAGCTCTGCAAACCTGGCACAACTCCAGGAGATGTTTGCTGAGTTTGGTGTGCCAAAGAGCTCCTGCTTCAGTGTAGCTCACCCACTGTCCCTCTGAGTGTGTGTTTAGCCCTGAAAGGGGTTAATCAACTAATCAATTTCTTGGCTGTGTTGGCCCATGTGAGGAGTGATTTTTTTTTTCAGCTTCTCTCCCCTTGGAGTTCCCGTCTTTCAGTTCTTAAGGAAATCTGTGGGTTCTCTGAGCATGTCTGTGAGACTTCCTAATTAACAGCAGAGCTGTGTTTCTTTCCTGGAGAGAGGTGTGGAACAGTGGTGATAAGAAATCACAGTGCTGACTTGGATTTTCCACATTGGAAGCTTTTAGCATGGAGCAGCAAGGGAAAATGGGGAAGGGAGACAGGTAGAGAAAATCGTGGGGTAACAGAACAATGTAACTTTGCAATGTAATACTGCTGTTTCTAATGACATTCTGATGTCATCTTTTTAGTGCAAGCTGGAGAAGGAAACAAACCAAACTCAGCCCAGCTGGAACTGAGAATGGTCCAAAGCAAAAAGGACATAGAAAACCCAGAGATCATAGTGAAAGCCACCGTGTTATAAAGGCTCCACGTCTCCAATAACGCACAATGTATCGATGTCCTCATTTCTTTCCTGTAAATTGTAATATTTGCCTTAGATCTGTGACAGAAACCTGACTTTCATGAAATAGTGCCCAGCATAGGCAGATATCCACTCTCAAACATATGTGCTGGCCTTGCTCAGTTTTAAATCCAGAACAGTTAGTGTGCATTGAAGCATATTCCCAGGTATCCTAATGTCTGTCAGATTCACTTAGTCTGTGTGATTACCCAGGGCAAAAGAGCAATGTTCCTGCCTTGCCAAAGACTGTAGATGTGAATTTGCTAATGGAATGCTTGACTGACTGGAAAATGTATTTCAAGATGGCATCTAGTGCCAATGGAGCTGGCTCCATGCTCCCTTTTCCTGGAGGTACCTGGTTACCTACCCTGGTATTCAGTATCTCAGCTGCTATGAAACTAAGCAGGGTTAAAGCTACACACACAGTTCTGCTTGTGTGTAGGAGGACTTCGAAGATGTTTGGCATGTTCAGTACTCTGAAGTGACCTTGAGGTGTTCATTCATGTTGCTGATCTCTGCTCCTGTTTCTTGTCCATGAACAGCTGCACAGTTTCAGTTGTTACAGGTCCTGGCTGCTTATTTCTCATGTCTGTGGTTGCCCACATGATTTTCCTCCAAAAGCTGCTCCAGAAACATCTTCATCAACAAGATCATGCCTTTATTCAGTACCACCGGTTAGAAGGGTACTAAAAATCAAACCTCTGAGGCCAGGTTTGATTTTAACTAAGGGCAAAAGAGAAAGCAGCTCTTACCCTGGAGTTGGCTGCCTTGGTTTATTCATTGTGGGTGGATGTACTTAAAAACTACATGAGCACTTCCCTTAACATTAGTGAGCACTGCTGGCAGCCTCAGCAATGAAGCAATGTGGCAAAAGTAGTATTTTTGGTTTAGTAAATCTGGTCAGTTACACCTGTTTACCAAATGCAGTGAAACAGAAAAATTAACTTGTTCATAAAGTCTCTGTAAGCAACACCAATTAGAGATTACAGAAATACATTATTATTTTTATTATTAATGCACAATTCTGCTTGATAAGGCATCAGAATGGGATTTTTAATCATTTCAGTGTCCTGTGGATCATAGCCACATCCCAAAGCAGCAGGGCAGCTCTGCTGACAGGTATTGGACACTCACACTTGTGTAGGATTTCTGTATGGGATCCACATTCTTGCTTGTCCCAGAATAAAATCTAGTGTGGTGTTAAATCCAGATCATGTTGAGGAGCTTTACTTGTCTCAGACTACATAAGGGGATGGAAATTGCACTTCTGATTGATTTCCTCTCCTTCATTTGGCATTGAAAGTGAAAAAATTATTATGTTACTTGAGAATTTAAGGAAAAATATCAGCAGGAATTTATCTACAAAATGGGACTCTACTGCCAGTTTCTAGTAACCACTGTAATGAAATAACTTTCTAGCAATAATAACTTTGGTGTTGTGCACAGTTGCTAAAATCAGCAGTCAGTAGCAGAGATAGGAGCTCATGGCTGCTACCCAACCTGTAAAAAGCTGTGACCTCCCTTGACAGTGTGTGCAAGTGTCTGATGGGAAGCAGTGGAGAGGGAACCAGGCTCTTCCCAGTGGTGCCCAAGGAAGTGATAAATAGACAGAGCACAAATTGAAATACAGGAAAATCCATTTAAACATTAGGAAAATGTAATTCACTGTGAAGGTGATCAAGCACTGGCACAGGTTGCCCAGAGAGGTTGTGGAGTCTCTGTTCTTGGAGATGCTCAGATGCTGACTGAACTTGGCCCTGTTTGCTCAGAGGCTGGAGCAGATCTCCACAGGTCCCTTCCCACCTCAGCCATTCCATGATTCTCTGGGCACATTGAACAACCTTTCTTTGCAGCTCTACAGTTCTAAATTCTGTTCTCCCTGCAACACAAACTTCCAGATGGGCTGGAAAATACTCATAATAATATTTCCCCCCTTTTAAGGTAAGCTGCTGTTTGCTTGGGCAGCTGTGCCAGGAGGACAATTACCTCTTTTGAGATACTTGCTTTCAGCAAAGATTTTAAATACTGTAGCTGGTGATATGTTTCAGCAGTTGAACATGAAAAGGATTTTAACTGTTTCTAACATTGATTAACCAAGTGCTGCATGCCATATTCCAAACATAACTGTGAGTTTATTAATCTTTTAAAATTAAATTTAAAATTTCATGTGGACGTGTATAATCCCTGCTGTCCTCTTAGGAAGGAGAGATCAACAGCCTGAACTTCCCTGCCTGTACAGACAACGGTCAATGCCCTTTTAGTGAGACAGCACAATTTTATTTTGCCATTAGAATAAACAGACTTCAGGAAGGATTGAGAGCAAGGCAAGGGCTGTTTTCTCTGAAATAAAGAAGCTTGGAATTTGGGAAGCTTGGAGCTACCTTGCAAAGAAGATTTTAATTATAAACCACGATGAGCCTTGATCTTGACACAAGATACAAAGTGATATGTTTTGTTGGAGCAGTTTACACCTGTCAGGTGTAATCTTTTCTCATTTCATAGAGAATGGATCTGTTCAGTAATTGACACCTTCCTCAGAATCTGTGACATTCCCATGTTAAAAAGAAAAAAAAAAGAATATTCAGACTAATGTGCTCAGTTTGCATAAGTTCTGTTTCACAGTAGCTGGATCCTGTAGCAATGGGCTGCTGGCTTCATCTGCTTGAGTCCCTGAGGGTTGCTCATGTGATACCTGCTCTAAACTCCCACTGACCTGGTCTAAATTAGGTCAGGTTTATATCTTCAGTGAAGAATTGGGCTTAACATCTCTTGCCAGGAACAAACATCAGAAATGATCTGTAAATATATTCTATAGCTAATATTTTGTAACCACAGCAGGCTAACAGGTATTTTTGAATGTCAAGGTACACATTTTTATTTGTTTAGAGTTACACAAAGCTCATGTGCAGAACAAAATTCAAAGACTCAGCACAGTCCTGTGTAATATTCCATTCCTTCCTCTCCTGCATATTATACCTGTATCTTTCCCTGAGTTCCTGCTGTCTGTCTCGTGGAGCTGTCTCAGTGTCAGTGCCCACTCTTCATTTAGGGGCTTGGAAGAGACTGACCAGCATTGTCTGATTCACTTGCAAACCTTTAGTTAAAGATAGAAAGTTAATCTCAGCTAGCCTAGGTCCTGACTGATGGCAGGAGAACAAGCACTTTAGCCCAGAGAGGGAGTCTGTAATGATGGATAATCTTCCCTGGCCATCCTGGGAGCATGGAAGGTGTGACCCTGCTGGGCACTGGCGGCTTCAGTGCCACCTGTGTGAGCTCAGAGGCACAGGAGGCTTCTCCTGGCAGCACATGGAGCTGTGGGAGAGGTGAGTGCTTTGTGTTTGTGTCCCCTGACTGCCCTCACATTCTTTCTCCCTTCTGGAGTGAATTTGTGTCAGGTCCCCTCTTCCTGGAGTGATTTGCAGTGCCTGTGGCCACTGCTCAAGTCCACCCACTCGTTTTTGGAGCCACCTGTGCAGGAGAGACCAAAAGTTGTTTACAAACCATCGACTCTGGGCTGGATTAGTCTCTACATGCTGAGAGTTGAGATGTGCATAATGACATTGTGCTAAAATCAGTGCTGCTCACACTCAATAGAAACACGTCAGAAACCTGCAGTATGAATTGTTGATGTTTGTGTGCTGATTTTTATCTCAGATGGGGAGAAATCCATAATCCATGTGTTACACAAAAGAATTGGAGGACCAAGGTTTCCAGCTACTCATACTGCCTTTTGAGTATCTTAACTGTGTCTTGATTGGATGGTGTTAATTTGTTGTCTGAGACTGTTATGGTGATTGTATTGATTAATTTTATTTTAAAATATGTGGCAAGGAAGATTGTAATAAACGCATCTACCTTTATTATACTGTGCACACACAAATTGTTTAGATCCTATTTTTAAATATGTTAATCATTTCAGAATTAAACAGCACAAGAATGGTTTGATAGTCTTGCTGAATAAAGTGGATGTAATTAAATGTTTCCTTAGTTATGTCCTAGGATAGAGAAAGGGTAGTTAATGGAAGAAAGCACATTTGTGCCCTGTAATCATCTTACTGTAAGATGTGGATGTGGAAGTGAGTAACATCCTTGTTGTCTTAATTTATTTTTTAAGAGGTTTCATGGGAAGAAAATCTCTGGCATTCTGCAGCACTCCCTTGCATTCCTCTTACTTGTATGTGTAGGACCTCATTGTGTTGTGCTCTTTTTTCCTGCAGACAAGGTGAGGTGAGAAGAGGGGCTTGGAGTCAGAACCATAACTCATTTTGAGAACCATAACTCATTTTGAGATCTCTTCCTTGTGCAGCGTTTAACTGCACTCCACTCACTGGATTTTTACCTTCACTGTGTAGGGTAGAGCACACAGGGCTGTAGAGTGGGAAACAAATGTTCCTCCTGTGGGAACAGGAGCTTCTGCCAGCACTCAGCAGTGTCCCTGCCAGCCTGGTGGTTTGCAGCAGGAGCAGAGCAGGGATCCAGGTTAAGGAGAGCAGGAGGTGCTGTGTCATTCCATTTGTGTCCTGCAGAGGTTTGGTTTCTATTTATACTGGAGAAAAAAAACACCTCTCCCAAGTAAAGGTTCTTGTCCAGGTGAAAAATGCTTTTAAAGCTGAGACATGTTACAAATTTTGGTCACCCTGGTACAAATTCTGGTCACTCTGGTACTAAAATATTTCTTCATAAAGGGAGACACATCCCTTTCACATCCCCTTGCTGCTTTACTGGCTTATTGACTGTAGTGATTTTAGAATGCCAGGATTAGATACCCAGAGGGCTGTTCTTCCTGCAAGCACATGTTCTTCATGTTCCTGGTAAGTGAGAGCCTGCTGAGCAGCTCTGCAGCTTTCTGCACCACCTCCATTGGAGACATTTGTCAGCCATGGAAACTGAGCTTCGACATGTTCCATCACAGCCCAAAAATAGCTCTTTGAAAGAAATGGAAACTCTTGAAAGTGCTTTATTGTCAATAAATGAGTTTATTACAAACCAGTGAGTTTGTACATGCATGCAGGAGCAGAGTTCAGGTACATCCCCAAGGTTCAGTCACCCACTGGAGGAGTGTGCCCTGAGCAAGGGCTGCTGCTGTCAGGAGAGACCCAGCCAGTCCTCAACATTGCCCAGAAGGGAGGAATGTGGTGTGGCATCCAACAGCCAGGGAAAACTCCCATCTGCTTCACCAGGAACCCAGTGCCACCAGTTTGGTGCTTTTGCTGCTTTTGAGGCAGGTGGGATGCTCCTAAATGTGCACCCGTTCCTGATCAGTGCCTCCACAAATAATGGTAATAAATCCCAGTGAATAAGGCAGCACATTATTCAGAGAGAGAGAAAACCAGCAATATGAGAAGGCTGTGCCATATGTTACCACTGAAATCACACTTACCTATTGCCCTCGTGGTTGCATTGCTGTTTAGAAAAAAACAAAATCTGTGTGTAGAAGAGTGTAATTTATGTACTCTGTGTGTGTGTGTGTGTGTGTATGTTGAAGCTTTATTTGCAATGTGGTAGGGGTGGGAAGCAGAATTTGGGGGGCTGGCTGAGTAGGCCTTCAGGATGTGAGCAGAAGGTCTTAAAGAATTATATTTTTATAGATTGTGCTGAAGCTTTGGGTCCCAGCCACACGTAGCCTTTTCTTCCAGAGAAGTAAAATGGTTTGGAAAGAGAGTCAGGTGGCTGTAATAT